GCAGTTAAAAGGAAGAAGCAGCTGCAATCTCACATCACTCTGAGAAGCACAGAGCCGGAGACAGAAGCCTGAAGATGATGAATGAGACTTCATCGAAACGTTGCCTAGATACTTCGAATCTTACGCGGGAGAGAACCCGAACAACCAAAGATAGATAGATAGATAAATAGATAGATAGATAGATAGATATATGATCTGTACTGATTGCATTGTACTTGTATGTATGATCTGTACTGGTTGCATTCCAGATATAACTGGAGGAAAAAAAGCGAGCAAGGATAGGATAAAACCATCTAATTTAATTTAACTTGAATTACTTACAATGAACACAATTACTACCCCAAGATGAAATAATTCACCTCTTCTTTCATATAAGGAATTGCATATAGGCAGCATACTCTATGGCTTGGGAAATCACAAAGAGACATAACATTTTACACCTTCATTAGCTGTGATACTGTAATTTTCAATGCAATGTGTCTTCAAGTCATTATTATCAAGCACTGCTTTCATTGTTGCTCTGGTGCCTAGGCAAGAAACTATCTGCCTTCCCTTTCCTCTTGATCTTCCACAGAGAGGAAGGGGTCAAGCTATTTTCTAAAGTGTCTGTAGGCCAGACAAGGAATAATGGATGGAAACTGAACAAGGAGAGATTTAACCTGGAAATAAGGAGAAACTTTCTGACAGTGAGAACAATCAACCAATGGAACAGCTTGTCCTCAGAAATTGTGGGAGCATCATCACTTGAGATTTTCAAGAAGATATTAGACTGCTATTTGTCAGAAATGGTGTAGGGTCTCCTGCTTGGGTGGGGGGTTGGACTAGATGACCTATAAGGTCCCTTCCAATTCTGATTATCTGTTATCTTCCATTCCCAAATTGTTCGACTGCAATGGACAAAAATGTACATGTGATTAATTTTCTCATAATACCTTTCTATGTGTATATATTACATGCTTGTGGCTTTGAAATACATGATCTCTCCTGCTGAAATGTGGATATATTTGTTCTTTATAATCTAGCAAGAGAAATATATCATATGTTGGAAAATATAATAGTGCTCTAATTGCAATCCCCACTTTTAAATCATTTTTTCTGCTCACTGTATGACCACATAGGTTCACTGCTGCAGAAGGAGATCTGCCAAGATAGAGGCTTTTTAGGTTTCAAGGGTTATACTTCAGGGGTACAGGAAACTGTTCCATGGAATATAGTTGCTTATCTGCTTTTCTATTCTGTCACATCCCTTCCTGTAAATTTTAATCATCCAAAGAGCTTCTGCTCCACCCTTTCATCTTTTGTATTCTAGAAGAAGCTGGCCTGGATTAGATACTCCTATAACTGCCTCCCTGAATGCCTTCTTGTGTTGATTCCATCCCTCAAATTCCCTCCCTGAAATTCACATTTTCTTCCTTTTTTTTTTCAGAATAAATTTAACCTAAGCCAACATACAAGCAATTGAACTAATAGCCTGTCTTTCCCAGATTGATCTTTCTCTCCCCTTCCTGTCCCCCAGCGCTTTCCTGTTTATTTTAAATTGTGAATTCCTACAGGGATCTGTTAACCTTCCACTTTGTAAATTCCATGTATTGGGATGGAATTCTATCTATATACCACTGTACTGAAATTCTCATTATCATGACCTTTAACTGGGTGCAACAGAACATGATAGGCAACCATTTTTGAACCAAAGTACCTTAAATAGACTAATTTACAGAATAATCTGGGACCCATTATTCTGGAAGGATTGAAACTGGAAAAGTTGTGGTTGCTTCAGTGCTAATGGATGCTGTTGTCCGCTTTGCTTCTGCTACATTCACGTGAACTTCCTTTTCAATGTTGCATGATAGTTTCCCAGGAAGGAGAGAGGAACAAAAAAAGAAGGAACCCACATATATCCTTCTCAATCCATTCCACCACCACTCACAAGCTCCCCTGATCTCTGCCACTTGTCCACAAACTTTTCCTGAATTGCACTGCCACCATATGCCTTTTCCAACCCATGTAGGACCTCTTGCACATCTCCAGACTCCATGAAGAAGGAGGGAAGGAAGGAAGGAAGATTTCTGAAACTCTCTGCCTGCTTTCCACAAGGAAACACAATGGGGAAACCACCAGGAAGTTAGAAGTTGCTTCAGCTCCCACTGTTTTTGTCTACAAAATGGTCATTCTGCTTCTCTGTTTAAGTAAGGAAATACCTCTGAAATGATGACCCAATGGGGCATAGGTTGTCCAGTAAATAATAATTAACAATGAATCTGCCTCAATTTCTGTTGTGTTGTTGTATAAAAGAAAAACAAGCAACATTAATTTGTTGAGAAGTGGTGACCATTCTTGCAAATATGCATTTTTTTATTTGCATCAAGTAAACTTTCTTCCATGAACAATAAAGAAAGGGACTCCATATTTTTGTTGTTGTTGCAGCATTTCTACTTTGAGCCTCATCAAAGAGTCTTCTACAATGTCAAATTGTACTGGATAACTATAAATATTTTACATTTCCTTTTTCCTTTTTAGAAAATCGAGTCTCTGGTGAGGAAACTAATTCAAGTAGTATTTCTGCAAATACTACCATTGCTGAGAAGTTGGCAGTAATCACTACTCCTAGTTCTGCTCCTAGTATTACCTCTTTAAGCTCCACTATAACATCACTAAAAGGTAAATTGGCTTCAACATTTCTATGGAATTAGTTTGACTCATTTAATCATTTATGATAAAAACATAACTTTCTCAAACTTTCTCAAATTTCTGTTTTCCCATCTTTTCTCATTCAGCTAATATTCTGACCTGGAAAAAAAGGAAATATTGAAATTAATTTTAATTGAATAATTATTAGTACAATTTCCCAATTTTTCAAGAAACTCTTCAGTTTTTAAATATATTTTATCAGGAATGGAATTTTATAAGTATAATTTTACCTCTAGACATCAATTTATCACTTCCCCTCCTCTACTTCCAGGCTATTACCATGTTTCTCACAAAATAAGGCCGGGCCTTTTTTTTTTTTTTTTTTGCCCCTGAAAAAATGGCTAGGCCGTCTTTTAGGGGGTGACTTAATTCCCTCCCTGCCCTGCTCAGGTGGGCAGGCGGCAACGGCTTGGATGTTGACCTCGGTGTTGGTGGGGCACTTCATATCAGGAGACCTTCCGCCACCGTTGCTTTCCTTTCTTCCCATGCTGCCACAGCATTTAGAGTAATGCCGCAGCATTTGGCACAGTCACGCACGGCCAGCCAGGGCTCCTCCCTACAACTGGAGCCTGGCGGAGACACTCGGCTTCAGGTGCTCCTGTCACTGCCTTCCCTTCTCCTTCAAAGGCAAAGCCAATTCTCTTTAAAACGATGCCCTACTACTGGTACGACAAAGCCTCCCCTGCCTGAGAGGACAGCCCAACCCCACATGGGAAGACGAATCTCCCAGAGCGCAGGATCGGCCCACCCTGGGAGAAGTGTCCAGCTGCCATCCATGCTTGGCGCTGAGCAGAGCGCAAAGAGCTTTGCCTGGGCCACCCGGCACAGCTGACAGGCAGGCCCTCCTGCCCAGTGGCAGAACTCTCGCCAAGGCAGCAAGTGCCTCCCTGCCAGGCCCTCCGCTCCTCCTGCCAGGGCCACGCCGGAGCCAGGCAGGCTGGGCAGAGCTGGGAAAGCGAGCCATGGGTGCGCGTCCGCCTGCCAAGTGAAAGAGCCGGGCCAACCTGAGCTTGGCTTCCTTCCCAAGTCCCTCCAGCCCGAAGGGACCACTGGGAGAGGCCGCCCGAGGCAGTGATAGTGCCCACCCATCCATGGACAGGGAGGCAAGGCGACGGCCTGCACTGCATCCTCCTCCCGCTGAGATAGCGCCTCTGCCTGATGCCCATGCCACTGTAGTGTTTGGAGCTGCCGGAGCATTTGGAGATGCATGGGGATGGGGACAGGCTGGGCGAGGGGTGGAAAGGATGGGTGGCTTCAGGCTCTCTCCGCTGGACCCACTGGCCAGGGAAGCAGCATTGCCATTGCCTCGCCTCCCTGTCCACAGATGGGTGGGTGCTATCACTGCCTCAGGCAGCCTCTCCCGGTGGCCCCTTCAGGTTTGGGCTGGAGGGACTTGGGAAGGAAGCCAAGCTCGGGTCAGCCCGGCTCTTTTGCTTGGCAGGCAGGCACGCACCCATCGCTCGTTTTCTCGGCTCTGCCCAACACACACGGCTCTGGCACAGCCCTGGTGGGATAAGCACTCGCTGCCTTGGCTCTGCCACCAGGCAGGAGCCCCCCCCCCTGTCAGCTGTGCTGGGCACCCCAGGTGAAGCTCTTTGTACTCTGCCCGGCGCCAGGCAGGGATGGAAGCTGGGTGCTTTGCCCGGGATGGCCCGATCCTGCGCTACAGCCCCGGGAGATTTGCCTCCCCACATGGAGTTGGGCTGCTCTCTTGGGCAGGGGAGGCTTTGTCGTACCAGTAGTAGGGCATCATTTTTAAAAGAATTGGCTTTGCCTTCGAAGGCAAAGGGAAGGCGGCGACAGGAGCGCCTGAAGCCAAGTTTCTCCGCCGGGCTCCAGTTGCAGGGAGGAGCCCTGGCTGGCTGCACGTGGCTGTGCCAAACACCACGGCATTGCTCTAAATGCTGTGGCAGCATGGGGAGAAGGGAAAGCAACTGTGGCAGAAGGTTTCCCAATACTAAGTGCCCCACCAACGCCGAAGTCAACGCAGGCAGCACCATATCCGGGTATGCAACAAAAGTACTTCCTAACGGCAAGCCGCCCCCCCCCCCCCATTCCCCCCCATTTCGCATGCTTAATATAAGCCTTAATTTGGTGGGAGAGGCTTAATTTGATTTTATGCCTATAAAACATGTTGGGACTTCCTATTGGGGGAGGCCGTATTGTTGGAGAAACACGGTATTTTAAATCAAACTTTGAGCTGGTGTTAAAATACTTTGCTTATTATGCAAATGTATTGTTAAACATTTGAAATGTTCAGATCAGATTTTACTATCATAGATCAGTTCAAAATAAATTCAAAATTAAGATAAACAACTCCTAAATAGTGAGTCGTGAACAGCAGAATTCACAATTATGAAGGCTAAATGTGAGTAACAATTAAAAAATAGACTAAAACTAACAATAAACAATCATTTTTTCTGGAACAATAGATATTTACAATATGATTATTAATAGAGTATAGCTAATACTGCAGTTAACAGGACAATATTTAGCTATGTTCAGTAAGACAAAGTTCAACTGATCAGATAGCAAAAGGTAAAGAGAAAAGGAGAGATTAAGACATTAATCTAAAAATAGGGATAATAGCTCCTGACGTGAAATAACATAGTGAACAATACAATACTACGCAATACAACATGGCTCAATATCTGTATTGTTCCTGTGCCAGAGGGACATAGTCTTTACTCAAATGGAATGTCCTCATATGTCCCCTCAGTGAAAGCTATTGGGAAGGCATTAAATCTAGCCAAAGATAAACATCTCCTAAATATAGAGACTAGTATTTGATTAAGTGTTAAGATATTTAAAATTTAATAAGTGGAGCAACAAAGGATTGGACAATGAGTAAAAACACAGTTATAGCTAATTGGTTAAAGAGAGCTTAATTGGTTGCTGTGAGAGTAGAGGAGTTTCCTTATTTCCTGCTTTTTTTCTCTGTATGCTCTCTGTGGTTTATCTCATGATGTTCCTGCTGTGTTGATTTACCTAACAATGCCCCTGTTTGCCTATTTTATTTAATGTAAGTATATTTATTTATATAAAAATGCTTGTTAGTGTTAGCATCTCTGGCTCCATTTGGACACCAGGTGCACAATTCCCTAACATTAAGATATTGTGATAATTAGAATGGTTGAGAAAAATTACTCAAAATATATTTAGGTATGGCTGACTGATTCATCTGAAACTCCAGATCAAAATGTGCTATTTGAGATCATTAAGTGCATACTCATAGCCCATCAATTTACACAAAAATGTGAAAGCACAGCTGCCAGTTCTTTAGATGGTATGGGTCTTCATACGCATCAAGTTCTTTCCAAGAAGCTGGAATGTTGTCACATATCAGCATAGTATATGTGCAGATCTAAGTAATGTGGCTTTTTGTAATTGATAGATGGAAATCTTGTATCTTTATCCATTTCTCCCTCATCTTTTGTAGAAATTGATCATGTAATCATTTGAAGAAATTGACCATGTATTCAGAAATTGATCATGAATTATTATTATTATTATTGTTAGTCAGCCAAATGTTTAGACTGGATTTGGCATTTTTATCTACCAATCAAGTCTTTTATTTCTTTCCAGAGACATTAAGCAATGGTACCAAGCCAGAGACATTTGCCAGCATACCCACAACAAACTTAACTTCACCAAATACAACAGCTAAGTCGTTTACTACACAGTGGAATGCAATATTGACTACTAACAATGAGACAACAACTCAAAGTTTAAGTTCAACACCACTTCTAACACATGAACCTACTAAGCCAACAACATATAATTCTACCATTTCTGTTATTACAGCCACAACTAATAACCGTGAGATGGTAAGATTGTGAAAATTTAGGAAAATAGGAAACATTAATTATATTTGTATTATAGTTATTAAAAAGAGGAAATATTAATCTCCTTTATTGGGACCATTATTTTAAATCAACGATTGGTGTATTAATCAGTCTCATCGACATGGTATTTCAGATACTTTTGCAAAGGTGCCAGCCTATATTCTTCAGCTTCCTGGATGATTACCATAGGTGCTCATTTATTTCTTTGAACTTCATCTAGGCTTTTTCTTATTTCATTTTATTGGGGAAGAGAATAGATGTGTTTACATAACCTTTTTCCTCAGCAAAGGAAGCTCCAACAGCAGGTTGGCAAACTGCCCAGAGCACAAATGTGAAGGGAAGAGAGAACATAAATTTGCAACTCCCAGCCTGTGGTCTTCTCTGATGCGCTTTCCCACATTCAGTTTTTTTTATAGCATTTGACATTCAGACACTGTAGTGTTCTACATGACCATTCTACTAACTACTGTTTTGCTACTGTTTTGTGTTCAGAAGATGTAAATTGTCACACAATCTCATTTTGCTATATGAAAATGTACCTGTGTACAAGTAAAAAATAATTCAATGCAATAAAAATTGTTATTGTATAAACTTTGGCCTTAGTCTGAATTTACATTGACTCTGTCCTCAGTATTGGAATTACAAAGCCAAATATTCCTAAAACAAAAGAAACTGATGCTAAAGTAACATATTCCTTGATACTGACCCTTCTTTCATATATCTGATATTTGATTGCCTTTTGAGGAAGTTTACTTATGATTTCAAGTCGATAACATTTACATTCAGCAGATTTGTTTGATTTGACACCTCCATTTCAGGTTACCCTGAATATCAGTTGTCTTTTCAGCCATGTAATGCTATTTGTCTGATGGAAGCATATAAGTTTTTGAATTATGTCTCCTTTCAGAAAATGGTTGAAAGTTTTCTACATTAGAACTATGAGAATATTTGTGCTTTATCAGGATGCAGCAGGACTTTCTTGTTTTTTCTTTGAAGACGTTTCACTTCTCATCCAAGAAGCTACTTCAGCTCTGACAGGGTAGTGGGAAATGGAAGGAAAAACAAGGAAGTCCATTCCCCACTATCCTGCCAGAGGTGAAGAAGCTTCAAGGATGAGAATCTTCAAAGGAAAAACAAGGAAATCCAGTTGCCTCCTGAAAAAGCACCTTTGGGACAACCATGACCTGGATGACTGAGAATCTCTACAGAATTTCCTAAGATAATTATCTCTTGCATATGTCTGCCAATCTGAAGTTTGTAATTATCTTCACAGGTATGGCTCAGTGTGTCCCCATCACATAAGGTGAACTAGTATTTCAGAAATAGCCTTCTTGGTGTTGGGGTCTCTATTATAGAATAGACTTCTCAGGGATAGTGGCCTAACACCTTCTTTGTGGTCATGTTTACACTAAGTTGCTGGTTTGCCTGCTTAATACAACTGTTTGTTTAAAATCACATGTAAGCATAAAAGTATCTTTTTAGTCATTTCTGTTATACTTGGGGATTTACTTTTTCCACAAGAAAAAATATTTGTGCTTTTTTCTGTCACATTTTAGCAATATTGTTTATTCTTTGTTCTTGAATTATTCAATAAGCGCATATCAATAAAGGAGAATATTTGTAGCTCAGGGTTGAAATTAGTGGTCCTTGGTGCTCTCTGAACTTAACTGTTTTCTTGCAGATGTTTCATTACCCAAACTAAGTAACATCATCAGACTAGTACTGATGATGCTACATAATTTGGGTGATAAATTACAATCAAGCTCAGAAAGCACCAAGGACCTTTCAAGCACATATTAATTAATTGGTGATTTCATGGAAATACAATTAGCAAACAAAATAGACAAATGACACCAGACAAAGGGAAATACAATGATACATTCTTTCATCCTTTCTTTTTTAGTTCAGCGTCTCATGTATGAAAATCAAGCAGCTGCCTCCTGCCACTGAAGTGGTATGCTTGGAACTCTATGAAGTCCAATCTTGTGTAAGTAGACAGGAAGGAGAAAATGGCAAGAGAGGCATTTGTTATAATGGAGGTTTTGCTTTGCTTTAAGATAAAAAATTGAGGGTGGGGGGATTTCTTGGTGCAGAAGATCCAACATTGAAAAGTAAAAAGTGATGGTTATCCTCCACCCATCTTTAAAACAATCGGTGTTATTTGTTTCTATTCAGTGCAAAACTGCATGTATTTCAAATGTTCATCGTGACCCATTTGGTTCTAGATTTTGACAATGCTTTGTCCCTAAAACTTCATGCATTCCATTTGTTAAGTTTATAAGTTGTCCAACGAACTCCACCCAGCATCATATTTACACACCAGGCACTTTTTCCACTACAGCATCGATAGTTGTAGGAACAGCATAAAGCTTCTCTATGTCTATAAGAGGGAAGGAGAAAGAGAGTAATGGCTCATTTGAGCCCAACAGATGAAAAGCATAGATATCTGGACAAAGGGAAAGGAGGGTAAGTGCTGAAATGAGCACTGTGAGATTGTGAAACAATCCATCCATTGCATACTTCTGTGTGGCATTGTGAAGCAAGTCTTTTTATTGCATGGTGATGTTAGGATGCCAATTTCTTAATTTTGACATCATTGTGGTTAGTTCTTAGCATCTATCCTAGAGGCTAGGCTGAGGTAAGAATTCATGGCATCCTGTTTTTATAGCAAGGAAAGTTAAGCTGAATTGGAGGGGAGATTGTAAAGATTTATGAAACTGATTAGACATTGACTAGAAAGTTTTAAATCCAGTTGGTTGAGAATAGTTTTGAGTTGAAGCAGCAGAATGGTGGGATAAAGCAAGAGTTCCAGAAATGGGAGAATGGCCTCTCTGCAAGTCCCACAAAATTTCTGTCTTGCAAATCTTGAAATGAAAGTTTTGCAATTTGGGCTGTACTATAGCTAAGCCAGTAAACAATTAGATTGAGCATTGCACTGCAGAGGCAGATATAATGCCAACATCCCATGTCGAAATGTCCAATAATGCCAGTTATTGAAAGTTTGTGCTAAAGTAATAGTTAGAAAGATCTGATATGTGCTAGAATGTATGAAAATTATTTAAGCTGAAAGCCTTTCAAAAATTATGTTTACCATCTGCTCACTTAAACTCCTATAGTAGTTCACTTTTGTAGCATAGGCGCCACCTAGTGGGGTGATATTTAAACAAACACATATGTGTGTTAATAATTTATTTAGAATTGTGATATAAAAATGCAGGTTAGCTACCCTTTAGTTCCATTCATTGATACACCATATTGGGGATCTTTATTAGGAAACTTTATCAGGTTGATCATGATTGTTATTTGAGTTACTATACATGATTGAGAACCACGATTACTTCTCTGCAGGATTGACATAATTTGTATGTTCCTGTAAATGTGTGAAATTAGGCATTTTATAGAATGCCCTAGGAAATCTTCAGAATGCCAAAAATGAGACGTCAAAGTATGAAATGCTTAATATGTCACACATTTCCTGGGACTTCTATGCAATGCCAAAAGGCAAAATGGCAAACTATAAAATACTCCCCCTAAAATACCATTCTTGGCTTCTTTGTTGCAACAAGTCTGGTCTTTTTAATCTTATTTTTTCCTGTACTTTATTTTGAATTTTTATTTTATTTTTCATATACTGTATGTTAGTCCTAATGCTAATCCTAACCCTTTTCATGATTCTCTTTTCATACTTTGCCTAAATAGCTTTTAGCATTCTGCATAATGCCTAGATATATATAATACCTAGAGAAAGTATATAGCATATTAAAATAACACAAACATTACATACTTTGCCTAAAAGGACATGCATTCTATAGATTTCCTAAGCATTCTATACAATGCCGATTTTTCACACATTGCCACTAACGTATATATTGAAATCATTGATTGGAAAGCCTGGAAGCTGAAGTTCTGATACATCTACTGTATCAGAAAGCACCAAATTAAGAAAACTGCCTACAATGAATCAGGATGTGAATCTTGTACAGAAATAGCCATTTGACTGAAGCTCTGGCTTTGTCATCACAACTTTTGATAAAGGTTTATAAGCCTTGGAAATCATGTATTAGCATATCCCCAATGCATTACCCAATACATTTTAGTAATATTATTCAATAACAATTCTGATATTAGTAATGGCTTGTAGATTTTATTAAACTATTAATAACTGGCTAATAGTGCTGTACTGGGTAATATGACACTACACAGCATTCAAACAAAAACAGCTAATAAGCAAAAATTGTTATTAACTAACAAATTGTGAACATTAATTTGTCAATATGAAGCACTATAATATATTCTATAAAATGAAGCCACAATCAGTGTTTGATTTCCATCTGAAACATTGTTTTTATTCACTGGTATATGGACAAAGTATTTTTTTCATGAACAGAAATTTTTAATAGATGACTAAAAACCCAGGTCATATTTCCTTTAATTGTGATGACCATGCGTGTTATTGGAGGAAACATGGTTGGTGATGATATTATAATGGTATGATGAACAGGAAGCTATTATAAAATTAATCTTTGAATCATCTATTTTTATATCTTTTTGTAAAGAGAATGAAAGATGAAACAATTTCAAGCAAAATCAGTTGCATAAGTGAATATTCCAATTATAAACTTAAATGTCACTTTATAATTTATTGTTTTATAGTTATTATTACTCAATCCTACTTGCTAAAATCTTCCACCAGCCTCCATTCAATGGGAGACATTATAGTAGCTGATGCATCTAGGAGGCATCAATTTAAATCTCTAGGTTTATGTGCACTTATATTTCTTTGTTGTGATCTTTTTCACATACCACAGAAACTGAAAATGTACTGTAATGTATTATTGTCTTGAACATACACACCATTGGCAGATTTATCTCTTGGCTAATTTTTACTGGAAACTGGAATCAGGCCTTCTTTCTTTGTCTCATGCATTATTTTTAAGACTGATTACTGTGTCTGAGCCACAAATAAATAGAATGAACTCTTTCACTTGTTTGTCTTTCTGTCGGGCTTTTTCCAGTAAGCTGGTCCATTCACTAGAAAGGAAACTCTGGCATTCTCTCAACAATTATTTCCAAAAAAAGAAAAAAAAACATAAGAGTGTTTTTCCTCACTATCCCAAACTAATATCTGTGGGAATAGTTCTTTATTTGCATTCTTCCATTTCCCTTGCATAATGCATTCTGTGATTGTTTACATTTTTTGCTTCTATTGTGTAGCTTTTGTTTATTCTATTGGGCCACATTAAATCACCATTTGACATTTTTCAGAAGCCAGTTAAGCCACCTGAAGATATGAATTGATATCCCAAATCCTAAATGGATCGATATGTAAAATCATACACTAAGTGCCTAACTATCTATGAATCCCCCAGCCAATAGAAAGTTATATACAAGAAATCTTCATTTAGTGACTGGCTCAGACTGTGAGTGCAGTTATGAAAATGATAAAAACATAACTTTGCATTTCCTTGTATTTAGGATTGTTGCAGGTCTGTAAATCAAAGCAAAGCTGAAGTAAGTCTTTAAGACATTTGCAGTTTCACTTACCAATTGCTTTGCTTAACAATTGGGCTACTTTGTTCAACTGTGATTGCTAAACAAGGACTATATGTAACCCAAAGTAGACTGGGTGAAAGATTTCTCCCTGATAAATATTTAGATAGACAGACAAACATTTATATTTTTGTTTTACTAAAGGGAAAGTTCTGATTATGCTTCCTGTATAATCGATTGTGACTAAAAGTAGGTTCTTTATCTATAGTAATGCTACCTCTGAATTAAATACTGCACATGGAAGTATTTATTTTTACTAGCCATGAAACTTACTCAGGTCCATTGTACGAGATTTAAGGAAGGGCAGAATTTCAGGAAGATTCCACATAGACACAGCATGAAAAAAATGGTCTTTTGCTCCCTTGCTGCCCATCAGTAAAATTTTGTGTGTATATGTTTGCTGTAAAACATGGATTTCATATATCCTGCTCTGAGGGGAGTAGAAAAGATCTCAGCAACTGCATAATTGCCTTTCCCATAAGGTGGCATAGGGGCAATTTACCAGGAGTATTTTTTCTCCACAGCTCCCAAGCAGATCCAACCCATTTTACAACTTTCTTTTACCTGCTTCTCTTTTTAGTGCAAATTTGGCATTCATTCAAGACAGTTTTTTATATAATTATTGTGCTGATGAACAAACAGATGGACAGAATCCCACCCTCTGTACATATTTTTCCAATTCCGCAATGTTAGAAAAAATTAAAGAAGAAAGTTCTATTAGTTGAATATATACTGGACATGAAATATTCAACAACCATAGGAAGACTAAATCTTTTTCCAACTTATTGAACCAGCCTATATTTTTAAATTGCTTTAGATTTTTATTTTAGTTCTAGCTCTTCTGAGTCTGACCCTGACCTATGCCTCTCCTTTGATGTCCAAATTGACCAAATGGAGGGAGAAAAAATAACTACAGCCACACACTTTTCTTCCTGTCTCCTCCACAACTGTTTGGGAAAGGCGACATTTTATTTTAATCTTTATGTGGGAAGATTTTATCCTTGCAAAATGTGCCATGAGAGAACCATTTGAAATACTCAAGGCATTTCTGAAACAGGAAGGCCAAGTCTGTGCTTGTTATTTCCCTCACCTCCTGCCTGGTAACAGTGAAAAAGGAATGGTACTCATGATTTCAAAACATTAAGAGTGCCTTGGCTGGTTTAGGAGATAGTTGCAGAATGAACTGTGATAATGACATTACTTATTTAATAAGCAATCTAAGATTATACTTAATTAGTAATCAGTATCCACAGAAATGTGTTGACAAATATTTCAGTACATATTCTATTTATTTTGATTTATTATTATTTTTAATAACTGGACATCTAATCCTTTTTGTCCACTATACTTCAGTGAAGCAAATTAAGAATCCCAAGCATATAGCTAAAACATGCTCTAAACTCTGTCTTAACTTCAGTAGTTCAGCTTTCACATACTATAATTCACATAATCTGTCCCATTTTAGAGATGTGCCCATTAATATACGATAAAGAATATTCCTATGCATATATTTTTGATAGTCATAATAGAAAATAGGGATTCCATAAATGGAGTTGCTTCTTGGAAAATTGTTCTTAATGTTTGTGGTTTCTCTTAACCTTTGTAGATTTTGAGCCACGAAATCCACAAATAGATGCAATTGGGAGAATAAACTATAGCTCATGAGAATATAGTTATGTTTATAGAAGCCAGTGATAATTAATATGCCACTTGATGTTGGATAAATGTAAAGGAAACAAATGAGGAAAAATGTTCTACAACAGTAACTCTGTTTTTGTTTTGTTTTGTTTTTTTAGGAAAACTTTAAAAGAAACAAAGGGGAAGGATTGAGCAAATTGGTTTGTAAAAAACAACTTCCATGCTTTATTGAACTGGCTGACTCTGATGTGAATCAACACTGCATGTTGTTGCTTGCAGTTAACAATACAGGTTAGTTGAACTGATTTATTATAGCTTGTAATCAAGTTGGATAGAAGCCTTGAGTGACTTGCTAAAATTGACTAGATTTCACATGTCACATGAAACCATAATTTTATCTTTGGCTGATTCAACAAATCTTATATATAACACATTTAGCTCCAATCCAGCAATTATGGGTTTGCAAGGTAAGTAAACCCAATGTTTTTGCTATCTTCTTCATCCATAGATGAAGAATGGATGGAATGAAGAAAGTATTTGAAAAACCAACTATTTCAAAATGTATTAGGTGTCCTCAGTTAGGTGTTACTTCTATTCAATAGCAAATTAAGGTCAGGAAGTGGCTTAGTTTGTTTTTTTACTTCCCAGTTAGTTTACAGCCATGGGATTTCCTTATGGTCTCATATCTAGATGACAACCAAGCTATCCCAGCTTAACTTTTTCAACATCAGCTAAATGTTGTGGCCAGCAGCTAATAAAAAATTGTAACCTCTTTCCCCCATCTTTCTCTCATTACTAAATTCAGAACAATAAGTGGTATATATCACAACAACATTCAAATACTAATTGGAAATTCTGACTGGATTCACAGGTTGCATGGGCCATACTGTTATTTTAGCATTTTATTTTATAATGTATTCATTAAATTGAATGTGTAAACACATTCAGTTTGATTTGTAAACCATCACTTATAACTTATTTATGTATTTTTATTATGCTTGAATTCTGTCCATTTTCATGGGATCTAGGCAGCTAAACAGAGGTAAACAGATAAAATACCCCCCAAATCCTTAAATACATATAATTATTTTCCAGAAGCCACATACAGTGTATCCCATCTTTCAATAAAAAAAAATACTCTGTTCATGTGCAAGACAAAATGGGTTTGTTTTCAAAGTTTTTCTGGAGTCTAAGAGTGATGTGACATTTCCACTGGAAGGGAGTTTCAAAGAATGCCTGCCTCTAGGGCCACATCAGATATAATCTCGGAGAGATAGAATGTGGAAAAATTGGTTTTATTTATTTATTAGCTATGGTGGCACAGTGATTAGAATGCAGTATTTCCATGCTAACTCTGCCCACTGCCAGGAGTTTGATCCTTAAGGTTGATTCAGCCTGTTGTGGTCTGCCGGCGGCTGATGGAGCTGGCAGCAGAGTCGGACAGAGTCATAGCAAGGAGGTTGGGGAGGAACCTGGGCCAGTCCTGGAGGCTGAGGAAGGCTCGGATGAGGGCTCTGTGTCAGAAGCAGAGTCATCAGCTGCCTTCAGACTCAGACAGCAGTGAGGCAGGAGAGTTTCTGGAACCAGTTCCCAGCTTGTGCATGTGCAGAGCTGCCAAAAGGAAGGAACAATTAAGGCTTGACATGGGAGTAAGGCCACAGGTAGACAATGAATGGCCCCTTCCATAAGGATTAAAAGAGGAGAAAAAGGGGAGGGGGCTTTTGCAGGAAACAATTTGTTCATTCCAGCCTTGGGATGATCTGTCTGTGTAACGTAGAGACTCTGTGCCCAGCCTTTCCCTGTCAACGCTGCATGCGGAAATATTTACTGGGAAGCTTTCCCAGATAGATAAGGTCTGAGCTAATAATTATACCTTTGCAAGACTGTTTGCCAGGCCATTGGCTGACTGTGAATGCAATAAATTCACATTCATTTAATAAAAGAGATTTTTCAGGGACACAGGGTTTACTTAGTGTTTTGGGGGGTAAACTAGGACAGAACACAGCCTTTTATCCTTCCAAGATTAGTAAAATGAGGACCCAGATTATTGGGGGCAATATGCTTACACTAAACTGCCCAGAGAGTGCTGTAGAACACTATGGAGTGGTATATAAGTCTATTGTTATTAATATACTATTTGATTTGTTTGGACAGGCAAATGAATTAAGAAAAAGATGGCCAGGATCAGATGTATATAGGTTTTAAATGTGACAACCACCACCTTAAACCACACCCAGAATTCAATTGGAAACTAAGGCAACTCCCATTATTACTGCAACTACCTCATTCTGCAGCAGCTGCAGTTTCCACACATCCTTCGGGAATCATCCTATGTTGAGCATTTATTTAATGCAATAATTAATTTATGCAATATTTTAATACAGGTGACTAGAGCTTTAGTGACTATAAGCAAGTCCTCCAAAGCCAGAAAAAAAGTTGTCATTGTACAAAAAAGTTTATCTGACATCTGATCTTCAAACAGGAAAATTCTCAAGTTGAAAGCCATCTTTGAACAAAGAAATACAACCAGTTTAGAGTTTTTAAAAAGTGGATTTTCCCTGCAATTGTTAGATTTGCAGATCCAAAGCCACTCCTTATTGGACAGATTCAATTAAAGTGTGTTCCTCCTCATCCAGACCCAAACAATATCCAGGAAGTCAGTTAACACTTCTGCTGCACATCTACTCATGGCTATGGTATATATCAGTAGTGGCGAACTTTTTTGGTGTGCACATGCTCGTCGTGGATGCACCCCAGAAGAGAAGCTGCCAAGTGGGCATGCATGTGCTGGGAAATGAATTTTCAGTTTCCAAAGCGCACATGAGCACCGGCCAGCTTGTCTTCTGGTTACTGGTGCACATGCATATGCGACAATCAGCTGGCCAGCATGTATGCACACAATGGAAACTGGAAGACCAACTCTTCCGGTTTCTGACACTACCACACACGCAAAAACAGCTGATCGTCGAGCGCACATGCACACCAGAAACACAGAAGAGGAACAGGGGATGCCATGCGTACCAGCCGACATGGCTCCGTGTGCCACTTCAGACATGCCTGCCATAGGGTCACCATCACAGGTATATACTATGTATCAGTAGCATACGATGATGCTATGTTTTATCATTTTATCAATTGTGACTTATTTAATAAACCACAGTTATATAAGCCATATATTACTTTGAATAAAACCTGTACAAGTGATACTATAAATGTTATTAAAGCTTCTTTGCTTGATAAATAATTCCAATATTCTCTGAAAGTAAATTTCAATTTTCTCTGCTTTAGAAAATATAGGTGCAAATGCATTACGTGGCTTTCTGGATAACAAGCAACACGATTTGAACGCGGTAATTTATTCATGTTTTTATATATAGGAGTTGGGTGAGACAGAATTAAAAGAATTAAACCTAAAATATTACAAAATTTGAATAGTATGCTTTGTAAGTCAGGATCTTTTATAACTAAAATCATGTAAATGAACAATGATATATTTCACAAATAATGTGGAATTAAATGTCAATATTTTAATAATAATCAAATTACTATAACAAGCAACTAACTGTGAGAATTTCCCTAACAATTTCCAATTTACTATTTTTAGAAAACAGACTAAAATGTAACACTGCAATAAGCAATATGCATTTTCCTGGATTTGAAGTGTTATCAACTTAAAACATCAACCAACAGTTCCATTGGGCTGACAAGGTTTTGGGGCATCTATCCTGCCTGTAAGGAAACCACTTTTAGCTATCAGAATTGCCAGAGAATATTTCGGAGGACAAAGTGAAACTGTTTTAGTTATTTATTTTATTTGGTTTGGTTTGTCAGTTGCTTACAAGATAATAGATATAAGTAAAAACATAGTTATGAAGACATGGATACATATAAGAAGAATAAAAGAAACAATAGGACAGGGACGGTAGGCACGTTGGTGTGCTTATGCATGCCCCCTACAGACCTCTTAGGAAAGGGTTGAGGTCAATAGTAGAAAGTCTAAGGTTGAAGGTTTTGGGGTTTGGGGAAGAAACCACAGAGTCAGGTAGAGTATTCCAGACATCGATCACTCTGTTGCTGAAGTCGTATTTCCTGCAATCAAGTTTGGTGCAGTTAACCTTGAGTTTGTATCTATTGTTTGCTCTTGTACTGTTATGGTTAAAGCTGAAGTATTCATTGACAGGTAGGACATTGCAATGTATGATTTTATATACTATACTTAGATCGGACCGAAGGTGGTGTAGTTCTAGATTTTCTAGGTCTAGAATTTCAAGTCTGGTGACACAAGGTATTCTGCAATGAGTAGAGGAGTGGAGAACTCTTCTTGTGAAATATTTCTAGACTTTCTCAACTGTGTTAATATCAGATGCATAATGTGGGTTCCAGACTGATGAGCTGTATTCAAGTATTGGTCTAGCAAATGTTTTGTATGCTCTAGTTAGTAGTGTATTATTACCAGAGAAAAAGCTACGTAGGATTAGATTAACAACTCTTAATGCCTTTTTGGCTATGTAGTTACAATGGGCTCTAGCACTTTAGAGATGAGTACTCCAAGGTCCTTGATAGAGTTTGGATCATCAACAAGGTCTTGACTATTCAGCCTTTATTTCATTTTTTTATATTTTTTTTGCCAATATGTAAGACAGAGCATTTGTTTGTTGAGATTTGAAGTTGCCATTTGTTTGACATAGTCGAAGGTCTTTTTGAAGAGTAGCAGTATTGTCAGTGGCGTTGAATAGCTTTACATCATCAGCGAAGAGGACACAGTTGCTCTTAATATGATCACAGAGGTCATTTATGTAGAGTATGAAGAGAGTTGGTCCTAGAACACTGCCTTGGGGGACCCCTCTGTTGACAGGTACAGAATTTGATAGGATGCTCCCAATTTTGACCATTTGTTGTCTGTTTGACAGGAATGCTTCTATCCAGTTATGCGGGTGTCCAGAGATACCGTAAGATGTTAGTTTTAGGAGTAGTTTGTCGTGTACCACTGAATCAAAGGCTTTAGGAGTAGTTTGTCGTGTACCACTGAATCAAAGGCTTTAGAGAAGTCTATGTAGATTGCGCTATTGGTTTGCCCTGATCAAGTTGTGTAGTCCATATGTTTTTGCAATGTAAGAGTTGCAGATTGCAGGATAGTTTTTTTTCTGAAATCAAATTGTTTATTAGAGAGTAGGTTGTATGTCTCTAAGTGGAGGATAATGGATTGGTTAATAATTGATTCCATGACTTTACAGGTGAAGCAGCATAAAGAGATTAGTCTGTAATTTTCAACTAGGCTGGGGTCTCCCTTTTTGAAGATAGTTTTGGCAAAGAGCTGGTCCTGAAAGATTTTTCAAAGATTATGCTTAGAGGTTCGGCTATGGCAGTGGGTAGCTTTTTTAAGAATTAGGCACATATTCTTTCCGGTCCAATAGATAGAAATGGAATTCATCCAATAGTTTTCATTAAGTTGTTTCATTCATTGAAGACATAATTGGCTTTCAAGATGTGCAGTGTTCTAATACTTAGTGCAAAAGAAATTCCAAGCGTTTCCAGAAATTGCATCCTGAAAATTAGTTTCCTTTGTGTTGTAATTTAACATACAAAACATATGAAATACACAGGACTTCTCTCTTTCCAAACTATCTTCCCAAACATGCATAATATCCTAAAGCTGTGTCATTCAATTTCAAGGAGATTCAGCAAGTCACATTTTCACACTGAATTTTCAGACTGAATTCTTGAATCATTTGAAAGAATCACATTAAATCAGGTGCTTTAAATCACTTTGGATTAAGAGATCTGGTGGGGTTTTCTTTTGTGTTGCTCTGATTTTTCTTCCAAAATGGACAGTATTATTCCTCCTGCTATGTCTCACTTTTGAATTAGAATTTGTTTAGGTAGGTTTACATGGAGTGCAAAATTTGGGAGGTTGGTTGGTTGTTTACACTAGTTTGTTCTTTCTTATATAATTCTCTTCCTTTTCCTCAAGCCATATCCTTTTATTATTGCATTTCTTCTACTTCCAATGTACTTGTCTAGCCTAAAATATAGCCAAATACGATATGTGCCCAATCTGTCTGCGGTTGTTGCTGTTAGTCCTCCCCTTTTGTGCCTTTTCATTCTCTGCATTCCCTTCAAAGGTTTTTTTTCCTATTTACCTATCACTGTCTTACTTTATACTCTGTAAGACTACCTCAGACCTAATGTCATACCATGATATAAAAAATTAGTCTGTATTATATGCGACAGGTTATTTCTTACACTAGCACATGTGAAATATGCAATAGCAATAAATAAACACAAATTTCTTGGGATGTTTTTAAGTTGTTGCCTAAGCATCACATAACCCATCATTCCCAGAAGAGGCTAATTCTGCCTCTTCCACTCTACTAGGAAGCTATCAGCTCAGAAAGATAAATGACCGATGAACAGAGAATCTTCAATCTTTAGTAAGAACTTACTTTTTCAAAACTGTTTTTGAAAGGCTTTGTTTTTAAGGTTTAATAGGGCATTTTGTCAGCCCTACTTCCCCATAAGATGGATATTTTAATTCCCTAAACAGTTTGGAGCTGTTATGTTGTCCTTTCCTCATTCCTGCTATGTCTTGTTTAAACAAGATGTTAGAGTACTTCAAAGTAAAAGTCTTCAAGCTACCTGACATTGTAGGAGGTTAGCTGTGTTAGACTAGGGTACAAAAAACTCCAGAGGAAGCACTTTTTCTATATAACAAATTTTATTAAAAGACATAAGCTGTATGGAATAAGACATGATGAATGACCCTTAAGGGTCTATAATCTCTGCTATTTGCATTCCTGACAGGTGTTTTCATGGTTCTTTGGTTCAATCCTATTTTGTTTTTTTCTTTTAGCTTGGGATAAAATTCCACAAGCAGGAACGCACTGAGATTCACCAAGTCCATTCTCGGGGGACCCTTATTGCCTTGGTCACCACCGGCTTGCTGTTTGCATTTTTGGGATTGACTGGATATTATCTTATGAAACGACGAAGCTGGAGCCCCATGGGAGAGAGGCTGGTTAGTGCTTATAGTTGGCAGAACAAGTAGAAAGTTCAAGGCATGTAACAGCAGTTGCAGAGAAAAATGACAGGATTGCTATTCTTACTATAACTGGTGTACTCATTTCCATAAGGTATTCTACAATTTCAAGTTATGCTTACTTTTTTTCAACAGTAAGATAAAACAATTTACAAACACCATCAAACAGGAATCATATTTTCCTCAATATCCTCATGCTTTAAATTCAGACTGGATTTTCTTCTCTTGTTTCTGTTGCACTAGAAACTTTCCTTATGACTTTATCACCAAATGATGAAATAAGAAGAAAAAGAAAATATTTTTCTTAATTCATTTGTTGCTTTCAATTTCGGTTCCTTCTATCTTTAGGCTTGCTGGCAATCTTTTGATTTTAGCTATGTCAGCTAAACGTAGAACTGCAACTGTAATTAATTTTTCTTTTTAATATTTGGGGATGTGTAAATATTGTTCCCAAATTCAGAAGAAGGTAAAATTAAGTAGAGAAGTGGAACTCCGTACCTGCTACTTTTACTTCAATACTGTTTATAGGATTTCAGTCAGATATAAGTTGACTGTGCATATAATTTCCCAGGAATATTCCCAGGAATATCTTGTTGAGATATAGGAATGTTGGAATTTCTTCAGGTAATCTTCATTAGCCTGAAATGCAAACACAGAGTTCTGTAGAGTTTCATAGACAATTTTCAAAAAAGATTTTAGAATATTTGGGAGGAGCACCTGCAACACCTTACAGAAGTTGTGTTTTTTCTCAGACCTGAATCCAGACCTGTACCGTACCATACACCGGTAGTATAAAATCTTGACAAATTGAATGCCAGTGTTATCACAACAATAGCTAATGAATGACTGGTTATTCCATTTATTTACTTATTGAACTATACATTATGTAGACTACATTAGCTTTCGGAAACTAAACTACCACTCCATTACTGCAAATTAGTGGTATTATTGCCAGTCTCTACAATCAAGAAATATAGATGCAGGTGAGATTGTGCATGAATTATATAATAGGACAAAGAGTCAGAGCAAGACCTCTTACAATCCATGGGGATATTTCATAGCTTATTGCTAATACATCTGTTCTCTCAGCAAAAACTCCAGATTAATTTTCTGGTGCTTCCAGATTAAAAAAAAATCTGGAAGTAAGCTATGAATAATTTTTTTGCTCCAAACCCTAGATACCAGGATAGACAAAAATATTAATGAAACTGCATACTGGATTATCAGTATTTGATCTCTTATTTTATTGACAAGTTTATATTCAAATTATTTGTATTATTATCATTGATTACATAGGCCACTGAAATACACTTCATACATGGACAAGGCCTCCCTTCACTCCATCATGAATATTATCTTAATATACTTTTCTAAATCCCTGACTGAAGTGCCTGACTGAAAGAACAGATATTTCTTTTCTTTTCTATATATAATCTAAATCATTTTGTTGACCTCTGAGCAGCTTTGTCTAATATTCTTATTGTTTATACCTCTAACCCCTTTAGGGTGAAGATCCTTATTACATCGAAAATGATAGCCATAGTAACCCTGAGATCCCTGTGGCCTCTCAAGAACAATCTGATCTGCAGGATAAACCAAATCTCAATGGAGGGGCTCGGGAAAATGGAACTGGCCAGCCGTCCTCAAAAAATGGACACCAAACAAAGCCCCAGGTTGTGGCTGACACAGAACTGTGAAAATGCTGTGACCTTCTTAATGCAGCTGGAAAAGCTCAACTGCACTTACAAAGAGGAGCTAGGAGTAAAAAATCATTAATGAAATTATAATACCTTTGTTTTAATTGTTAACATCTTAACATTAATTTTTCAGGGCCGATGCAGCAGCATTTGTGTATAGAAATTGTACAATTAGCAAACTGCTTCAATGGTATTGGGTATGTTCTTAATAAAAGGGAAGTTTGGAGGGTTTTTTATTTTATTTTTCTACTTTTAGATGTGATATCCTTCACAATAGTTTATCCAGGGAGACACAAGGCATGTTTCCTAGAAATTAAAATTTTTTTCACTTATTTGAGAGTTGTTTAATATCTATCTGATGCTGTTTGTAGTAAGAAAGGACATTTCACTTTTTTAAAACGTAATTTTAATTTTAATTTAAAATATAACAGAGATGTAACAACTATGGCTCCAGAGTAGTAGGCAGCTGAAAATCCCTAGATTTTAGTAATCACCACCCTTTCTCATACCCAACTTTCTGCCTTTCTGCATTTAGGCTATGGTGCAATTTGTACATAACATAAACTGATTGTAAGTCTGCAACTCATCAAAACCCTTTTGAAATATGGTTGAGGCAGTTCTTAAACAACACAAAATAAACTCTTCACCAGATTTGCTTATCTTGAAAAAACTGAGTATCTTTTCCATTTAAAAAAAAATAGGAAAAATTAGGAGACTTTTATAACATGAAAGTGCAGTATAATAGACAATAGACCTAAATCTGAAATGCTCTGTCTCTTTCAAAATTTGTTTTCATTGTCCATATACTGTACATAAGAACAAGCAAACAACTTTTTTTCCCTACATAGTACTTTCTAGATGCTTTGGGATTGTTACTATCAGAACTCATACAAAGTACATCCTTCGAATTCCAAAAATCGCTCATTTTTTTTAACATAAAGGAAATAAATCTGAAATGTTATTCTTAATCTGGATACAGTTAATTACATTGAAATCAAGAGTGGAATTAGTTGTAGTTACATTAAGTGGAGTTACATATTTCTGAGCCTAAAATCCTATTTGAACATCCTGGAGTTTAAATACAATGCAGTTTACTTCTAAATAGACATTTATATGATGTCAGGGCCTTTAAATCTAGTTTTCAAACAAAACATGTGAGAGTCTATTTGTAAATGTAAATAAAAATGCAAATATAGCTATATTTAAGTTGTATGTTTAAACATATCTAAGATCACAATAGTCATGCTTTAATTTAGCCTATATTTTAGGCTAAATTAAATATTCTAACCCCAAATATTTTTCTCCATTGCCTTCCTTCCCCTCAGTGCTCATCCCGAAATGTATTGATTATTTAAGTTAATTTGAAAATAGAATGTAGAACAAAAATGTGACTAGGCTCTGAAATGAATTGTCTTTTTCATATTAATTATCATATTTTTGTGTTAACTGGAAATAATTCAACAACACCTAACATGAATGATACTGCCTTATTTACACTTGTCATGGAAAGCATTCGCTAGGTATGGGATAATGACCATAACAATAAGTAGCACACTAGAGAAAGGAATATATTTCTTCTTTTTAATTCAAATTTCCCTAATCTGCTTTTGTTCAGATATGCTGGAACTAGAATTCCTTGCCAGGTATTGTCCAACTGCTGGTGCTAGAGAATGAATTAATTATTCAGTAGATTAGTATAGATAGTCTTAATGTTTACATTTTTGTGTTAACAAGCAAACATGATTGTTAATATGGTATAAAGAAAGCATGTATATTGGAATTGTCTCTAGTGTAAACTATACATATGTGTAGATAATTTTCATAATTTAAAAAGGCAGCATATGTATATTTTAATTGTTACTTAATATCTGATTTCCAAAATGCCATTTTGATTGTTTTGGGTTTGATGTACTTAATTGAAAAGATGTAATGGGCAAAAATGATTTGCTTTTAAATTTGTCTCTGAATGTTTGGCAAAAGTAAGTTTTCAGCTGAAATATTCCTTTACATACATACAGTAATTAAATAATAGTAGAGGCAAAACAGCATAATTAATGATAGAAAAATGAACAGCATAATTAATGATAACAAAAAAATAAAAATACACAGGAATGGCTCATGATTTGTGTTAGGCTTTGCACATTACAGCAAGCTTCTTTCCATGTTGTCCATTTTTAAGACGGACTTAATTAGAAGCTGTTCACTCCACTAGAATACCATTTATGGGGAGGTAGGGACTTCTTGGCAAGATAAAGGCCACAAACATCTCTCACATGAATCAGGCTTCTTGCTGAAATGTCATGGCATGTGAGAAAGACTGATATTGTAGCAGGCTAACTTGGTTCCTTAAACTGCTTAACGACTAATCCTTTGTTGAGAATGCATAGGACAAAGTGTTATATCCATTTCACTGTTTCTTTCTGTGGAAAAGTAGAGAAATGAATAAACGAATTTAATACCATGGTAAAGATAGGAAATACAGCTTTTATCCTTACTTGGAAAGAATACAGGCAATATATATTTTCATTGCTTTATGTTTATGTACAACAAAAAGCGTGTCAAATTCATAGGTGAGACGGAAGTTGGGATCTCTCTCTGTCTCTTTCTCCCTCTCTCAGTACAAATCAAAATCCTTTTTCATTTCTTAGTTTTTCTTTCCACCATCTTTTTTCCATGAATCCTTTATTGGCTGATTGCGAGCTATTTAGTTAGTATCAACTTTTAAGAACAAAACAGACTTTCTCCAGAATGATTTGTCCCAAGCCTGACACTTTAGGTTTCCTACTGTATACCCATTGCTGGTATAATCAAGTCTATCTTTCTTCTGATGACTGTCCTTTTCTTTTGCTTTCCAATTTTCCAGCATTGTAGACTTTCAGGTCATCATATAATATGTTAAAATGGTAGTCTGAGTCTGGTCTTGTGCCTCAAATGAGAATTCAAATGGATTTATTATATGGTCCATTTATTTGCTTGGATATCTATAGTATTTTCAAAAGTTTTTTCCAATACCAAAGTTCAAAAGCATCTTTTTTATCCTACTTCTTCAAAGCCCAACATTGCTTGCACAATTTTGATTTTGATAGTTTGTGGACACATCAGAGCATCTGAGTATTTTTTCCAAAGCCTTCATTGTAATTCTACCAAATATCTGTGGTATATTTCTTTACTACTGATTCCTTTACTATTGATACTGTAGTCAAAACCTAAAATGGTTGCTTGCAAGGACTAACATTATTCAAGTTATTGACTACCTTGTACCCCTATATCTTTCATGACTATGAAACCACACTGTTCATTGTTTTTATTCCTTAGTAGGAATAAAAATTACTACAATTATATAATTCTTGACCAAACATGCTCAGTTTCAATCCATTCCACTTTACCAATGCCTAAGAAGCCCAGTTGTAGTTGATTTATTTGTTTTTCACTTTGTTGAACTTTCTTATAATCATGCTTTTTATGTTCCATTTTCTCACTGTAATTCTGCCTTTGCAGCTTTTCCCGTACAACAACATCAGCAACTATATGCCCCAAAGACTTTAATTTAGCTGTATCATAAACACCATTATATTTCAAAAGATCCTCAGCAATTCTGCAATAGCATATTGAATGGCAACCCATCTGACACTATCTTATTGCTCAGTTTATGACCATATGATAAGGAATATCTAGTTTGGGGGCACAGAACAAGTGAGCCTATTTGAACATTTGAGAGCATATTGTGGGCATTCCTAGCTGGTTTTCTTGGGGAGTATGAGCAGTTTGAAAGCAACTGTTTATCAGGTAGCAACTTATCCAAACTGAGCACGTGGTTCTAGCTCAAGGATATAGAACATTTTCAAAGAAATGCTTTCCAGAACAAAACATTATTCAGCATCCATACAAGCTACATGGGCTAAGTCATGCTGAAATGTTTTGAGAACTTTCCATGGCTTCTTCTCTTCATATATACACATATATGCAGAAGATACATATCTTCTGCAAATCAGCCAGACAAAATAGTAGAGTCATGATTAATATCTCTCTCTCTCTCTCTCTCTCTCTTTTAGTTAAGACATTGGTTTAAATTAATGGATCTGCAAAATGAAGCAGAACCATTTCACACATTATGCTTAGAGAGATATTCATGGCACCATTCTGGAGACTGAATACTGGTGAAATAAGCATTACCATAATATAATATGGGTGGAGAAAGAAAAAGAAGATAAGACAACACTATACTCTGGAAATGGTGAGGTAGAGCTGAGGAATCTTTCAGTCCCCAGAATTGAAAATAATCCTTCAAAATAAGGCATAGAAAGACATGAGTTCAAGAAACCGAGCAAGTGTTAGCCTGGATATAACTACCTTATTTCTAAATATGTGAAACTGAAAGTCTCTCGTGTTATTGGAAACTCATTGTGGTCTATACTATGCCCTGTTCTTCCAGCTTTGGGACATGATTTCAAAACATGAAGCCATTTCCCCACTCTATCTAAAGGGCATTTTGAGATTTATGATTATGTCCAATATAATTAGACATATACAAACATACTACTCCCTTCACTCTAATTTTATGTGATATGGAGATGAGATGCCTACAAAAATGCTACATTTTCCTGTAAATTCTATGCCTCAAGGGTCTTGAAAGGCTGCTATTCCTGTTTTTTCCCTTCCCTAACTGTTCATGCCCAGCTTATCTGCATATTACTAGCCAGCTTTACTAATGCAGCAGCAATATAAATTTATAATGCTTTAAATTTTCCCTATTCTTACTACTGTAGAGATCCTTAGAAGTTGATAATTAAAGAAACTAGCACAATCCATACATTGTGTTTGAAATAAAGGCTTGTTTGCAAAAACAAATGTAACTTCTACAGCTTAATTGTTCACTCAGATGTTAAATAAATCTTTTAATATCAAACATCCTATCTCTAACAAATTTCTCTTCTCAGAAAAACTGTCTTGATTTATACAGGGTAAGAAAACAAAAGCTGTTCCCAAACTGTCTGAAGCCAAAGGAAATGAAAGGCACGACACCAATAGAGGTGCAGAATATGAGAGAATGCCAATCCGGAAAAGGCTGTGGCCAAGCTACAGGAAGTTTTCTCCAAGTGTATAAACATACTCAGCTTTGGCTTGAGCACAGCTGTAGGTGTTATTACTTTTTCCTTATCAACCCACATGCATTTTTCCTTGCAAAAATTCCTTCTTAATCTTTTGTTTTGGAAAGCATGCTACTGATAAAATGCTCAGTTTCCTCCTGCTCAGTTTCTGTACAGCTGATGAGAAAAGTACAGTCAATATTTATCTCCTTTGCATTCATAAGTCTCCCCTAATTAAAAGGAAAAGTGCCTGCTGCCTCGTTCTTCATTTAATTTGTGGAAGAAATCATGGTCTGTTATTTATAGCAATATGCAAGAAAAAATAATGGGTAAAGAACTCCTTCCATCAAATGATTCACATTTTTTTCCATTGCATTTTGCTGTAGAAGTATCCAAATCAACTTTCAGTTTTATGCATCTCTAATTAATTGAACTTAAGCAAAAGGGCTGGAAGACTTTTGCCTGTATCCAGGCAATGAAGTTGGTGTTTAGTTAAATGGACTCATACTCTGAGTCATTGTAAATTGGACTCTCATATCTTACGTTTATGCATTGCAAACAACATTTAGAAGGATAAATAATTAGCTACCAATAAATTTTTACAAGAACTTAAATAATTTTTTCTTGGATGTTTTACTGAATAATATACATTCAGCTAAAGTGAGAATTGGCCAAATAACAAGTGGTTGCATCCACAAACTTGGGGAAAGATTTGAAAGTAACTAGAGAGGTTTTAGTCATATAACTAATTAAAATAGCATAAATCAAAATCTTTGGAAACAAAGAAATAACAACCTTTCTATTAGTGGAATTGAAAGCTATTAGAGTTGCCCCTGCTGAGTGTTTCTAAGAGCCTGTTAATAACAGTGTCTAAAGAACAATTTCCAGTAATTAATAAGCTATGGTTTCTGGCAGTCTGCAAACACTCCACCCCTTGCTGATGTGAAGAGGAAGTCTGAGATACTTATATATATGTATATAAAAAAAAAACAAGCTGACTGCCAGTGTTTCTGAAATATGGGCTCATGTAAACTACAAATTCTAGGTTTTGCATTTTTGTTTTATTAGTTTTATTCCAAGAACATAAATACACAATCTGGTACATCTTTGCAAAAAATAAGCTCTTATAGTTATGCTTAGGAATGTAGATTGAGTTTCTTAAAGCAAGAAGAAAATCCACTGTGACTCTTCAGATGCTACTAAAGTACAGTATGACCAATCCTGATCGATACTGATCGATATCGTTTAGCCACACCTATACAATTTAGAAGCAGAGATAAGCACCGCCCCTAAAGCCAGAAACATGTGCAGAGGAACCTTTACCTTTCTCTTTACACAACGACAGATTTCTAGCCTGCCTCTCCCAGCATTCTTAGAAGAAATATTTATAGTTTATTAGATCTGTAATAAACATATTTAATTAAAGATCCTAGAGCACAGGGGGACTGGAAAAGAGCTGATGTATTTCCCATCTTCAAAAAAAAAAAAATAGATCCAGGAAACTACAGACCTATCAGCCTGACCTCAATACCAGAGAAGATTCTGGAAAGAATAATCAAGCAATGAATCAGTGAACACTTAGAAGCAAACAAAGTAATAACCAAAAGCCAACATGTGTTTGTCAAAAACAGATCATGCAAGACTAATCTTATTGAATTATTTGACAAAGTGACAAAATTAGTGGACCAGAAGAATGCTGTCGATATAATTTACTTGGACTTCAGTAAGGCATTTGATAAAGTAGACCATAACCTACTACTTAATAAAATAGAAAAATATGGGTTAGACAGCATCACCACCATATGGATTCGTAACTGGTTGACCAACTGCACTCAACGAGTAGTCCTCAATGGAACCACATCTACATGGAGTGGGGTATGCAGTGGGGTACCTCAAGGCTCTGTTTTAGGTCCAGTACTCTTCAACATCTTCAACAATGATTTGGACAAAGGAACAGATGGGGAACTCATCAAATTTGCAGATGACACCAAGCTAGCAGGAATAGCCAACACTTCAGAAGATAGGCTTAAGATACAGACTTGAAAATTGCCTCCAGAAGTTGTGAATGTTCCAACACTGGAAGTTTTTAAAAAGAGATTGGATAACCATTTGTCTGAAGTGGTGTAGGGTTTCCTGCCTAAGCAGGGGGTTGGACTAGAAGACCTCCAAGGTCCCTTCCAACTCTGTTATTCTATTCTATTAAATAAGAAGATATATCTCATGAGTAATAGAGAAATATAGCAGCATAAGTTCATTGCGAGTAATTATGTGCTCTGCGCAGGAATTCAGTTTAATACATCCACAGAATATTGGTCTATTCAAAATCACTACTGTTGGTTCTATATAAGTATGCATGTATGCATGTGTGTGTGTATGTATATGTTTTACACATGTTTTATATATGTGTTGTTTTATATACATACACATATACACACACATACACATACACATGTATATAGATACATATACACACACACACATACACACAGAAGATATGTATTTAAAAGTCAGCAATAATGTTTACTTTGTTTTGTTTTTAAATTATGATCTTTTAAGTGCAGGTAGTTTTTTCACTCTGCCTTTAAATTAAGCCCACTTTTCAGTCATCTGCAGTTTATAGATTTAGTAGTCTTTTATGTAGAAGATCACTAGAGTGGTCCAAATGACAGATCGTAGATAGGAATGAGGGACTGCATCAAGTAGTAGCACTGAAAGAACTCTCTACCATTTCATATCTTATCCATATACCTCTCCAAATGCCACTAGTAGCTTGCAAATTGACAGGCAGTTAAACCTGCTAATGCAGGCATCAAAACGATATCAAAACTCGCCTCACAACTGTCTAGGGAGAGTGATTTGTGTTTGCTTCTAGAATTGACAAGTAACATTTGATGGGAGAGGGAAAAGGCAGAGGAATCAACCAATCACTTTCCTTAATTTGTCTCACATTAAATCAGTAAGGACAACACTATTCATCAGTCCTGTTACTGTGGGAAAATAGAGACCAGCAATGGAGATAACACAATTTATTGTGCAGCCATACTTTTCTGCTGGATCAAAGAGCTGTAGGTTTCACTTTAACTTGGCTGTAGGGAAGAGCCCTATAATAGTCACTCATAAGCAGTAGCATTTATTCCAGAGGGATGCACAATTTGCTTAACATGATTATTTATTGCAATAAAAAGATGTTTATTTAAATGCATCTGATGCATGGTGCAATGCTACCCTCTACTGTCTGCTTTTGGAAAACACATGTGCATTATATTTTAAAAACAGGACAAATTAAGAGAGCCATTTTAAATAGATCGTGGAGAATGTTCAGAACTGTGCATTTGCTTTACCCGAAGACCAACTATCATTCTAGGTAGGGCAAAAGATGGTAAAAGTGTTCCTCAGTGTTCTTTAACAGAAAAAAAACCAGAATTGTTCAAACATTAATGGGTAAGGAGGATTGCCTAGATGCTTACTTCTCTTGAACATTTATATTTATCTAGGAAAATCCTGAACCTAAGTAAACTGTTATAATTTTATTTGATTAAAAATAAAAAATGGATTAAACTCCAAATCAGTTATTTGTATTCGACTCTTATGTGAATGTACTGCCTAGTTAAGGCCACCAGCACACAGATTAAGTATTTTGAAAATATGGCTTATGTCTTAGGAGGCATTGTACCTCCCTTTGTCATAGATGTTTGAACAAAGGTTGGGTACCAAGATGCTGAGGTAGTATATTTCTGCACTAAACAGAGGTTTACATTAGACGATCTCCAGGGTACCTTCAAACACATTCTATAATTCTATGATAAACTGCATTTTATTTCTTTAATATTAAAGGAATATGTCACACAGTAGGCATGATTTACCCAGTGAATTAGGGTTTGGATGCAACAGTTTTATTGGTTAGATGAAAGACTGTAGATCACTGATTTCTCTGAAATGTTACTTTGATTTCCTTTTAAAAATAATTTTAATTAAACATTTTCAAACTTCAATGGTCAATTCCATTCTATTTATTATAATCTTATCCAGCAAATGAAAGAGAAGAGAGTCAAAATAGATTGCAGCACAGACAGCAATGAGCTTTAAAAGTTATATTAATTTCCTATGGAATAAGCAATTCATCATTTTTGTAGCAGAAGTTTTGATAATGTAAATGGTAATTTAATTTATATATGTCATTCTTTTATTTCATATTAATGTAAGCAATTTTTTTCAAATTATACTTGTCTGTTAATTAGCTAGGGAAAATGCTTTTGAATGAAATTTTTAAAAGATTTGCTCAATTCATCATAAATCTCTTATATACATGCTTAACAAATAGGCCTCTGCCAACAAGGATATTTTCAATGAGAAGACTACTATAAATTTAAATTACTTAATAGGTTTGTAAAAAGAAAAGTGGTCCTTTAGATTTCTCAGCCTTAAGCTGTTTAAAGGATTGCAGCTAGTCCCAAGAATAAATTCAGCTTGTCTAATAATTTGAAGAATATATGATTTAATGTATAGATATTCATGAGCTATATAATGACATACGTATTTTCGAAGGCAGTTTTTCTAAAGGAAAAAAAAACCACAATAATGTCATCCTGAATATTTAAGTAAATTATATATTATTCCTACTTGAAGGTTAAATTGATTCCAAAAATTTTCTACAGCAGAGATGATATTCATCCGGTTCTGACCAGTTTTGGAGAACCGGTAGCAGAAATTTTGAATAGTTCAGAGAACTGCCTCCATCTATTCTCTGCCTCCAGGTCCCAGGTGATCAGAAAGCAGGTTAGTGGGGTAGGGAGGGAATCGGATTTTGCAGTAACCTTCCCCCAGGAGTGGGGAGGGAATGGGGATTTTGCAGTAACCTTCCCATCACGCCCACCAAGCTATGCTCACAGAGCCAGTCGTAAAATTTTTGGAATCCCACCACTGTTCTACAGGTATTCTATATTAAAATGTGTTTTCTTTTGATTCTATTAGAAATGGGAAAGAACACATTCAAATATAAGTGATTATATAACATTTGTCATACATGTGAATATTTTATTTTTATACTCATAACAATCTTTTTAGAACATCATTAAGCTTTTAGAAACTCACAATCATTTAGGAACAAAGGACCTTTAATTATTTTTATTATATTTTTATCTCCCTTTTTCATATATACCTTAAGGTGGTGAACGTATCTTACTCATGCCTATTTTCCCTACAACAACCCTGTGAGGTGGGTTGAGTTGAGAGAGAATGACTGGGTCAGAGATTCCTGCTTTCTAGGCTAGCACATTAACCACTAATAGACTATCATAGTATTCATGGTTTCCTGAGAGATTGATTCTTATCATAAATGCAATTTACAACATCCTAGTCTAGAAGAATACAAAGAACCTTAACATTATCATTTGTTTCAAGGCTATTTCAATCACAGTTCATTTGGATTGAGTAGAATGAAACCCAAATAGCTATCTCAGTTCTTTTTCTAGTTATTGTTTGCTTCATGCACTTATTGGGTTATATAGTCCACATACGGGATGTTTATAAAAAAGATGGCAAGAGGGCAATCTATTAAAAAAAACTAACTTAAGTCCTTTATGAAAGCAAAAGGGCATCAAGTTTGGGGAAAATCTTTTTAATATTCTTACAGAGATATCTTGGTATCTTATTGGTCATGTCAAAAAAAACATACTTTGTTTGCTGCTCTTTTTTCTGGATATCTGTACTGCTATTCTCCCC